AAGGTGTGAAGAAAATGAGGGTGGGAGAGGTTCTATTTATAGGGTGAAAAATGGCTGAACTTGGTGCCACATGTCACCATCTAGTGGCAAGACTTGGGGAGAAAGCAATGGCCAAGATTGTGCCACATCACCCATTTTCGCACATCACACTTCCGACTTCTAAAATCCGTCACTTTCACATACGACCTCCGTTTTTGACGTTATTTATATCCACGCGTAGGTAAAAATAAGATCTACCACTTTCATTTTGACTTCGTCGGCTAATTCTCGACCGATCTTAAATTTAACAGTACAAGGAGATTATACTGTTAAATGTCCGCGTAAAATTCATAACTTCTACATACGGACTCTGTTTTCGTCTGTCTTTTTACCGTTGAGTTCCTATTAATGAGATCTTCAATTCTCATTTAGGTTGTGTAGGCCAAAAACCGCTCGATCTAAAATTCGAGTTTCGGGTCGTGCATTGCTCTGCCAAATCTTAGAAAATTCGTAACTTCCTCATACGAAGTCAGATTTGGGCGTTCTTTTTTTGTATGTTCTTAGTTTAACGTATACTACAACTTTTGTTTAGATTTCAAAGGCTAAAAAGTCCTTTATCAAAAATTCACTATTTACGTCTCCCGGTGCCGTGCCGGTTTTGCCGTAAAACTTCGACGGGCCATAACTTCTTCGTTATAACTCGGATTTCGGCGTTCTTCATATGTAAGGAACCCTTGAGACATATTCTACAACTTGGTTAAGATTATTTATTCTAAATAATCTTTTGTCGAAAAGTCGTTTTCGACCCCTATTATCTCTAAATTGACTAGCCCAGATCTGCGGGCGTTACACGTTGGGCGTACGTGAGGTACGCGCAACGTACTTGTGAGAGACATGGATCGCAGACGCCATGCTAGTATGCTGGGCGTACATGTGGTATGTGGGGCATACTAACTCAGCCTCCAAACCCTAATTTTAAGGGTTTGATCAGTATTTAATCCACCTTATGCCTCCCTTTGACATTTCTTATCAGCCTCGCTTCCCTCAAAACCCTAATCTCGGGTCTAATCCTTGTGTGTGAAGAGTTTGAAGCTTGTTAGTGATTTTGATGCTCTTTTGTTGAAGAAGAAGGCTACTGAAGAAGGTGGTGTTGCTTGCAAGCTTGTAGATCCGTAAACTACCTCACTTTGTGCATCTTTTGAATGTATAAAGTTTACACCTTGATGTGTTTCTTTCTAGATCTCCATAGATGATTTTTTATAAAATTTTGTCCCAAAGCCTGGACCTTTGTCAGTATAGAGTACTCTAGAGCATATTAGTTGTCCTTTCATGTGTTTTAGGTCATATAGATTCATAAAAATGGTCGCTTGATCATTTCCCTTGTCCCATGCATGAGTTAAGTGACTTAGAGTGTGTTGGAAGTTAGATTTTTGTGTATTGAGCCCTTTCTAGCCATGCAAATGCTTAAAGTCAGTGACCTTATGGGTTAAGACATTCGATTATGGTCAGATCTGAATTTGGGATATGTGTCTTAAAGGATTAAGACATAAAAGTTGTTAAGTATGGACCAGGCAGAGTACGCCGGGCATACTCTTGGCTACGCCCCATGTAGCCAGGCCCATTTCCGTTGGACGTTAATTTGAGTTGTACGCCCCGCGTAAGAAGGAGTACGCCCAATGTACGCGCCAGGCAGTTGACTTAATTATTAATTAGGGTTAATTGTTTTGTTATTAGGTAGAGTCTTGTTCCGACAGTCGGGTGTGAGATTTGTCTGTCATTAGTATCAGCTGAGTCTCATCACTTATTCTTACCAGTGTGGTAGAATAGTTGTATTTGTGATGACCAACTGGGTCTAACTATTAGTATTGTGTTATGCTGTTTTTGCATGACTAAGACTACGAATAGTCTCCATGGTAGCTGATAACCTACCGGGCGTGCTATTTGCCCACTGTGACTGCTGATAGTCCCCAAGATTGTTGATAACCCATAACTGTTTATTTATGTTATGTTGTATGTGGTATCTTGGGGAACTCACTAAGCTTCGTGCTTATAGTTGTTGATATATGTGTTTCAGGTACTTTTGAGGATCACAAGAAGGCGAATGTGTGATTGTACACACTCGCTGGGAGATTTGTTACTGGGGCATTCTGTGATACTTTGATATTTTGTGATGATGATTTGTATTGGACACTTATGTATTTGATGACTTGGTTTATGAACAATATTTTGGTAATTAAAAATGAAAATTTTGTTTTAAAATTTGAGGTGTTACACCTGGTTTGGTATACGATATGATATCCTTATATCTTAGAAAAAAACTCTATTCTTTCTCTTCTTCTCTAACTATAAAATCGCTCATGATACAACCTCATACTCTCCAAATGAAGCCATCGTCATCCACAACTCTCATGACTTACAACCCATCTTTACAAATAATCTCTCAGATATCACCAAACTAACCTTTGCCAACTATTTGACATGGAGCCTTCAAATCGGATCTCTTCATGGTCTTCATTTCATTGATAACACGAAGTCTCACCAGCACCAACAATTGACTAAAATGGACCCACATCTCTAAAGCAAGAATATGTAACATGGAAAAGACAAGATCGCTTCATATTTAGTGCTCTTCTCAGTGCCATATCAGTTACCTTACAACATTTTATTTCTTGCACTACCTCTTCTATTGAAACATGATAAACATTGGTAACCACATATGTCAAACCCTCATGTGATGACATCAAAGAACTAACGGAAAAATTAAAATAAATATAAGAAATGATCAAAACTAGGCACTTAATATTTGTAGGAAGCCAAGGCTCATGAATATGAACTAGCAATTCTTGGTAAACCAAGTGACAAAGAGGACATACTTGATCAAATTCTCGAAGGTAGAGAAACATAAAAAGAGTTACATAGCTATAGAAATATGAGAGGATAAGAAATGATTATTGTGTATGAGAGAATAAGAAGTGACTTGTATATGTTTTCTATTGAAAGATGGTTATATAAATACAATGGGTGTTAACGAAGATTACCCAAATCAAAAAATAAAGGAAACTATCCTAATTTTGAAATAAATTACAACTAGATTTGTGACCTAATTTACAGCCAAGCAATGATGTATGCTAAGATCTTTTTATTGGTTTTCGGTTTGGTTTCGGTTTAACTCTATAACGGTGCAAACATAATAAATTAAAAAATCATTTTCTAAAGGGAAGTGATTCGTACACAACACTTTTTCTCGGTACACAACAAATTATGTTTTACTGGATTGTATTGTACAACATTTCAAAACATAAATTGTTGCGTATGGAAAAATATTGTTGTGTACGGATCAGCTCCCACAAAGGCTATAAAAAAATATTGCATTTAACTTGTTTTCCAAAATCTGGACCGGATTAAGTTTCAAACCGTAATGTGATGAGGGAATAGTTATATTTGAACGGATCGTTTAATCAGCCCCGTATTCCCATAGATTGTTTTTTCTTATAATCATTGGTTCTAAATCGGTTAAGTTTTTGTGTTTACCTCTTAAACAATGAACTCATGGATTAGTAGATCCATTGCTATTTTTATCGAATAAAGTCCATCCATAATCTACGCTTAGTTTTAACGCCGGATCAAATCCGACATAAATATTAATTGTTTTCATGACTTGAACACGTGACACTCACATAACAATCTTTATTGATATACGCATTAAATACAACATAACATACATTAATTAAACAACATACGAAAATATTTAGTCAACTGAACCTTAACCTGGTATCGTTTACAACTAAGAGCTGAATGAAACCAGCTGAACAAAAGCAATAACACAAAAAGACCAACGGAAACAAGAATCACAGCGGCGATTGCAGACAAAGATAAACATGTGGTTCATTTTGTCCTTTATTAATCGATGGACTTCGAGAAGTTCAAGCCTTGGTGGTAAGATCTTTTTGGGAACGGTTATATTTCATGTGGCTGTTTACAAGTTGCCCAGCGGCGATTGCAGACAAAAGAGAGAGCTCTCCGGCGAGAACAGAACCGGCAACCACCTTAGCCAACTGCCGAGCATTTGTTCCAGGTGACTCCCTGTTTGCGCCCTTAACTCCCAACAAGTTTAAGCATGCAGCTTGTGAAGCTAATTGAGTCCCACCGCCGACAGTTCCAACCTCGATTGACGGCATAGTCACCGACACATGAAGATCTTTTCCGTCGTTCACAGCTTCCATCATGGTGATACAGTGGGAGCTTTCAATATTTTGGGCAGGGTCTTGTCCAGTGGCAAGGTATACAGCTGACACGATGTTACTTGCATGGGCGTTAAACCCACCAAGAGCACCAGCCATGGCAGACCCTGTGAGGTTCTTGAGCATGTTCAGTTCAACCAACGAAGCGACGTTTGTCTTCAATACTTTCTTCACCACATCTTCCTTAATGATTGCCTCACACACCACAGATTTACCTCTCCCCTCTATCCAGTTCACGGCTGCTGGTTTTTTATCAGAACAATAGTTTCCAGAGATGCCAATGACGTCCATGTCGGGGAAGTCAGCCTGAAGATACTCCAAAACGTTTTGAACACCCTTTGAGACCATGTTCATCCCCATTGCATCACCGGTGCTGCATGTAAACCTTATGTATAGATTCTTCCCAGCAATGGCACATTGGATCTTTTGAAGCCTCCCGAATCGGCTTGATCTGCAATCATTGCATGAAAATAAGATTAATCAACTTTTATTACAACAGCGTATCTAAGATGCTTTTGCCTTAAGTTGCAACACCACTAGAAAATCAGCAACATCGAATTTAATCTATCGCTAAAATGAACCATTAGCAACGGATTATATACGCATTAACATCATTTCTCGTTTTAACATAAACATTCGACCGAATCTGTCTCTAATGTAGATTGATTTGTTTGTGTCTCTAACTCTCTCTCCTATTAATAAATAATTATTTTTGAGAGATCATCTAGGATTCAACATATCTAACGTGATGGATTCCTTATGTCGTTGATTAATGGTTTTTTTTAGTGCAAATCCGTATCAACTCTGATTATATCTATTTACGTCAAGAAACATGAACTTACTTGTTAAAAACGGATGCAAGAGTGTCAAAGTTAAGTGGTTCCTCCAAGAAGAACTTCAAATCAGCAGCCCTCTTAGCAGTGCCAAACCTAACAACTGGAGCACGAGTCATACCATCCTTGAGTAGGATGGCGGTGGCTCCACCAGATGCATAAATGGCCTTGAAACCTCGGTTCGTGCTAGCAACAAGACATCCTTCAGTAGTCGCCATGGGAACAGAGAACTCCTTTCCATTAAGCAACATCGGCCCAGCAACGCCCACAGGAATCTGGACATAACCAACTGGCATCTCACAACACTGTCCCAATATCGATTCATAATCAAGTCCCTCTAGTGGCAAACCATCCAGGGATTTTCCGGTGATTCTCTCAAGCGCCACCCTCCTGATGAAAGCTGCACGCTTGCAGTCCCCAAGTTTTGTTTCCAACGAGTAAGATGGTGTTTTACCTGAAACCACTGATTTTATAATCTCCTCATCCTCTTCGGTCACAGTTGTTGTGTCTGTTGGCACGAACACCAACTCCTTCTTCACTACTTGCTTCACAACCACATCGGATTCACAGTCAAGTGCAGCACCACAAGGGGTGGCACGAGTGTCTTCTTTCCTAACCATTTCGGTTTCATCAACTTCCAACTCCTCTTCCTCATCATCGGAATATGGGGTGGCCTGGACGAAGCTCATCCCAAAGAATCCGAGAAGGTAGATAAAAGAGGCTACGAACAAGACGATAGCAGCCATCTCTGACATAGTGACGACATGAAGTGGAGTCGAGGTTCTGATCTTCTCACGCCATCTGATTAGAAGAAAGTATACAACGGAGAAGAAGACAGTGAAGAACACACCATTGGAGATTCCCATCGGAAGAGGAACAACAGTATCCACAACCTTTTTGTCGGTAGCCTTATTAAAGATCTGATCATTATACTGATCTTCTGCCATTGTTTTACCTTTGGTTGCAGCTTGTTTCAACGAAGATCGTCGACGGACATCCATCCCTTTAGCTATAGCGTTGGTGGTCGGATGGGATGGAGCCGGTCACGATTTCGTTGCCGGAAAATGAGTACTAATTCTCGCTTTCGTTCTGTAGAGGTAAATAAGTGATGATTGAATTGAGAAAGATTTGCAAAATGGAAGTGGCTTTGGTGGAGTAATATATAGGTGAAGATATAGTAGGATTCTAACTTAAAAGACGCCTAGTTTGAATCTTGAAGACCATTAGTCAGCAATGGACTGCAGATGTATTAAAATAACGAAAAACAGCACCTCAAATGGGAAAAATAATGGGCATGGATTTTGTCACTTTACTCCATCCGAATTAACAAAGATGGTTATTATTTTCGGTACTTTTCGAATGATCCAAGTTCGACCCCCCTTGTGTGACGATATAATTGAATGGATTGGAAGACTTAGTCGATCAAATGATCAAAATAGCATAGTTATGACAATATATGTTATAACGACCAATAACTATAGAATACGTAACTCAATTTGCTTCTTAAAAAATAAGTTCATTTAAGCCCCGACGAGAAAATTTGTGAAATGACAAAAAAAAGAAATGGTTATTTAAAGAAAATGATCAATAATTAAGAGTTTTCGAAAAATGATCACGCCTTCCGCAGAGAGGGCCTCTCCGGAAGTCCTTTAGCTCTGAGGAACAAGAAAACTCTATGGAGAAAATGACGTGGCAGGGAAAAAGACAAAAAAAAATAAAATTCCGCAGAGGTTGCATCGTTCCACATAGATGTCCTCTGTGGATCTGTGGATCTGTTCTTCAGAGGTACTACTTTGAGGAATTATTCTTCGCTAAAACATGGTCTAATAACGATTCTGATATATTTTTCTTTTAAATCTAACGTTGTATCAACATTTAGCACATATCATTGACTCAAGATAACAATTTAAACTATAAAAATACGTTTCTAAGTCTATTTCTTCGATGATTTGTAACATACACTTCTAAAAACTATGTTGATTAAATCGTCGAAGAAATAGACTTAGAAACATAGTTTTATAGTTTAAATTGTTATTTTGAATGAATGATATGTGCTAAATGTTGATACCTCGTTAGATTTAGAAGAAAACAAATACCAAAATCTTTATTAAGTCATGTTTTAGCGAAGAACAATTCCTCAGAGGAATACCTCTGAAGAACATATTCGCAGAGGGCATCTCAGTGGAACGATGCACCTTCTGCGGAATTAAAATTTTATAATTTTTTTTGTCTTTTTCCCCGCCACATCATTTCCTCAGAGAGTTTCTTGTTCCTCAGAACTAAAGGACTTCCGCAGAGGCCGTCTCTACGGAAGTCATGGTTATTTTTCGAAAACTCCTAATTCTTTGTCATTTTCTTCAAACAACCCCTCATTTTTGGTCGTTTCACAAATTTTCTATTTACTTTCAACAGGTCAAACACTACAATAAAAAAGGGAATTAGCATCGAAAAAGTCGCCGGTAAAGGTTGATAAAGTCGTCGGTAGCGGCAACAAGTCGGCGGTAAAAAGTCGTCGGTACTGCCCTGTCGCTATTGCTCAAAATGTCACCGGTAATTCCTTCTGTTGCCAGTATTAACAAATTTTTAGTTTTTTATTAGTTCTTTTTTTTTTTTTTTTTTTTTTAAAGCAACGATTTTGGTTGCAAAAAAACCGATACATAACGACATTAAATGCAGAAAAAAATTACATAATAACATCCGATCAGGTACCAAATAGTGTTATAATTAATTTCATACGAAAATAAACAACCAAAATTTTATAATTCCAACAAGTACCAAAGTGTTATGACAAATCTAACATACAAAACACAAACTAATTATCTGACGAACCATCATCACTGTTTTCGTCGTTTCCTTCTTGATATTTCCCCGATTGAAAAAAACGCATAAAGCTCATCCCTACACGTCGGGTCGTTGAGCATTGCCCGAAGATTTTCGAACTACATAATAAATAACAACATATATAAACTTATAAACTAAATTATCAAACACAAACAAATACTACCAAATCAACATGCATTTTTTGATGCCAAAGTACATTGCTATTTTTAAACTATGGACAAAAAACAAAGGGACATTGCTATTTCTTGCAGTTAAAACATAAACATAATTACCAAATCAACATGCATTTATTGATTATTATGTAGATACAAAAGACTTTGAAATTAAATAATCCACTTTTTTGTGCTAAAAAACCTTAAATACAAGAAATACCAAAGTACATTGCTATTTCTTACACTTAAATACAAGAAATACCAAAAGTACATTGTTATTTCTTGCACTTGGGACAAAAACACAATTATCAAATCAACATGCATTTATTGATGCCAAAGTACATTGTTATTTTTAAACTAGGGACAAAAAACTAAAGTACATTGGTTTTTTGAAAGTGTTCGATTGTGTCTTCGGAGGCCAAGGGTGTAATCGTAATTTGACATCTCGGTCTTCTAGGGATTTTTGGGTTCTTTTTCGGGAAGTTTTAGATAGTGAGGAATTGATAGAAGCGTAGGGCTTCTCGTCACCTTTTCGTGGATATAAAGTTCGTCAGAAACGGACTTAGAACGAAAAAGTTATAACACTTTGAAGTTATTGACAATTTTGGCCCCTAATGGGAATGCTTGGCAGTTAAGTCCCATGCATGCAAGGGATGCATGCACGTGTCCGGCTAAGAACGCCCAACGTAAGTTGGGTTACGCCCAACATATAAAGTAAAATGGTCGCAGGTGGTTTGTGAGTACGCCGGGCGTACTCCCTTCAGGCTAAAACCCTAAATTTTAGGGTATGCAACTATAAAAGGAATAAGATGCCTCAATGGTCGGCCTCCATTTCACCCTAAAAGAGCTACTACGAAACCCTAATCCTTCCTTGAGTGATTTTGGAGCTTAGAAGGCCATTAGAAGAGTATTTTGGAGCTTTAGAAGAAGATGTTCATTCTTGAAGACTTACTGGCAAAGATAGAGCTTTTAGATCCAGAACTACACCAGCTTTTGGCTCTCATTTGAGGTATAATGTAACGACGTAAATTTTCAAACCAAAATTTTCATTTTTAATTACCACAATCACATATCATAATTCTCGAAAACCTCAAGTATCAATGTGAAAACATATTTCAAAATGGTTTTTCACAAATCCAGGATCCACAATAAACATAATCTACAGCTCAGGTGTGTGTGTACAATCAAGCCGGTGCCTTCCCGCGATCCTCTGAAGTACCTGAAACACATAACACATAACATGGTAAGCACGAAGCTTAGTGAGTTCCCCAAAATACCACATACAACACATAAGCCACTCGAGGCTATAACTCTGTAAGACCCTCCGGTCAATGTGTCTCAGTGGAACCCTCCAGTCCCACGACTCGTTGGACCCTCCGGTCCGGTCTGGTTGGGACCCTCCAGTCCCATGGCTCGTTGGACCCTCCGGTCCGGTCTGGTTGGGACCCTCCAGTCCCATGGCTCGTTGGACCCTCTGGTCCGGTCTGGTTGAGCACCCTCCGGTCTCATAGTACGATGGGCCCTCCGGTCCGGTCTATGTACCACATAATATAACATACAACACATATATCACACAGATAATGCATAACTCAAGCAAGCGCATAAAACCCTCTAGTCACATATAAATTACCACTCTAGGTAAGGTATAGTGAGAAGACTCACCTCACAAGCAAGCTAGTAACAGTCTCGGACGCGGAAATCTCGAACTA